CCTATGTCCAGCAGTGGACTGTTAAAGGCTGTGGATGATGATGATGACTACACCTACACTCTGGCATAGTGTAAAACCAAAATAGCAGATGTCTGTTACTGTTATAGGTATACTTCTGACTTCAAAAAAGCGTTCGAGTTAATCTAAAACCATCAAACATACATCTATATAATTATATATAAGAGATTTCCACGTATATAGTCACTCATCACGATATCTCTGGAACCATTAGAGCTAAAGACTTGAAATTTGGTAGGAATATTCTTTTCACCGAGCAGAGGTCAGCTAAAAACGGATTTTAAGAAATTAAAAAAAATATATATGTAAATAGCAAAACAACGTTTGCAGGGTCAGCTAGTGATAGTATAGATGAATTCACAAGTTTGTCTATGTGGCGATTATGGTTGACAATGCAGAAATTCTTTCAATGCCTGCCAAGGTAGTGCAGGGGTAGCGTATGCGACTGCTGTGCTGAGGTCTCGGGTTCGATTCCCGGGTTGGACGAAATGTTTGTATGATCTACAAATATTTGTTTCGGGTGTTTTATATGTATTTACAAAAAACAGTATATAAGCATTCTCTCTGTTAATCTAGCTTTCATAGTATAAGTTCTGCTTAGTTTGAAACTAGATGGCGTTGTGTGTGAGATGTATAAAACAAATACTCGTAAGTGTGAACACCTAACAGCTGGTGATCAATAAGTGTTTTTCAAGCGTTATAAGGAACCCTTAAATATAGAAATAATAAGAATACCAAAAAAAGTGTGACTGGTCCTAACTAACCGAATTCAAATGGCTTTGTCAAGGATTGTCCACAAAAACCACCTTTGTGAGAAACCCAAGCTAACCCTCCAACATAAATATACCTCTCACTCTTTACAATTGTTACAAAGAACGAACCAAATACGGAGATCTTATTAAATTGGCATACCCCACCGGTATAAACGGATCTCTACGTTAATAAAAAAAACAAATCTGTTAAGTAAGTTAAAAGGTCTTTTTAAATTGGTTATTTAGATCTATGAAAAATTTAAGTTATTGGTAAGTTAAACTTAAGTAAGTTCAATATGGATCGCTTCGTATGGGGTCTATATATTGCCGCTATTTAGTCTAAATTGGGTTGGCAGAGAAAAAATAAATCAAAAATATTTACTACCTACCCTTGATGACTCTGCTCTTTCTTGATATCTTAACAACCCCAACGGATGGCGTAGCGGTTTAAGCGGTCACCTTGCCGCTTCCTACTGCGCTGAGTGTTGTGCGTTCGATCCCACATGGGACAACTTTGTGTGATCCACAAATTGTGGTTCTAAGTCTGAGTGTTCTTTGTGTTCGCTTCATGTATGTAAAGATACAGACTATGTACCTAGTGCGGGAGTTCTACTGTATATAAAAAAAAGGACAGTTTTTATAAAAAAATACTCGGTAAGTCAGTGATAATCGTGGAAACGGGGGGCATAGGAACAGACGAGTTTAACTGATGGTTAGTAACTAGCGCTGCCCATGGGTATGGGAGGGAGTGGGCCCTCGTGTGGGAGTTTAATTTCATAAAAAATAAATAAAGAAACAGAAGGACAGTTAAAAAAAAAGTCCGTAAGTCAGTGATAATAGTGGAAACTGGAGACAAAGGAACAGATAGGTTTAACTGATGGTAAGTAAGTACCGCCGCCCCCCTTGGGAGGGAGTAGGAATTTGGGCTACCGTTACCAGTCCGTCATTTAATTATATTTCCAACTCCTCAAATTTTCTTCTGATTAATTTCAATTCCAAAACGTTATACTATTTTTTTTCCTGGGTCTTCCCGAGTGTCATAACACGGAGTGTTCGTGGGTCACTACTGTTGATTCTGGTGTATAGGAGTCACAATTGTGGGAGTGGGGGAGGTATTAGTCCCATTAAAAACCTCAAAGACTCGGTGCAAAGCACGTAAAAAAATATCTCAGCACCAGTTTTCTGTGAGGCCTTGGTATCGATCACGTTGTGCTGGCACATAACATGCCCCAAAGTACAGCTTTCCCACGGTAAGAGATGAGACGCTTTCGATTCAGTAATCTAGTCATCCCGTGGATAGTAGTAGACTAAGGGAGCAAACTACGCAGGACAACAGCACTGCAAAGGGAATTAAAACTTGAAACAAACCCTATACCAACCCGTCTGGCCAGCGTGGTATAGTAGGCTAAAACCTCTTTTTTAAGGAGAGGCCTATGTCCAGCAGTGGACAACTAAAGGCTGTTGATGAAGCTTAAAAAACGAACAAACACATTCGCATTTATTTTATTTTTTTGAGCTGAAAGTCGTGAGAGGCAGAGTAGTCATTTAAAAATTAAATAATAATAATGACTGATCCCAAACTAGGCAGAGCCTGTACTATGGTAACCAGACTTCTGATAAACATACTTATATATTTATAAATACATACATATTATAGATAAATTACACCCAGACACAGAACAAATGATCGTGCTCATCACATTTATTTGTCCTGGGTGGGAATCGAACTCACGACCTCCGGCTTAGCAGTCAGGGTCACCATAGGACCAGCAGACCCGGTCCCGTCAATATCATACAGTGAAGTGACATAACATGTATTTAACTTGAAGGTACTACAAGGTAACTAATAAATTCGGTTAGTCTATGGTTATTTTTTTATAACCTCAAAGTTTTTTTTTTAAGAAACTTGAGCTTTCAAAATCCAGAAGTGTCAAAAGAAATGTACATTGTCTATAGAAAAAGAATCGTGTTACAAATCTTACATATTGTTATATTTTTGTTTACGTATTCTTCATATCCGATCTCATTTGGAGGCAAAGGAATCTTGACAATACATCTGCTAAAATTCGCAATTTTTGACAAACTTTATCAACTGCTACAAAAACTATTGAAATAGTTCTTATTCTTCATGACATTGAGTTAAATTTTGTTTGAATGTCAAAGAAAAGATTGCAGTGTAAACTTTGTCGATCCGATACCAAATTCCAAAGAATTCTAAATTCAAATGTTATTAACAAATATTTTTATGCATTTATACAAGTTGTTAAATATCCTAATCCCTTACAACAGAGTTCAAATTTCTTTGAACAGTAGTATGTCGACGGCAATAATAAGTTTGTATTTTGAAACCCATTGTCGAATACTAATCCTTAGAGAATGGTTTTTTTAATCTCAAGTCTTTTGTAATTTGGCGCGTAACTTTATACTTCGAAATTGGAACAGAGATTAGGGCAGATGTTTTGGGTTTAAATTATCTGTGCCAATAGGTAGGATTAAAAAAAAAGTTATAGAAAATATATGTGGTTTCGAGTTATTGAAAAATGGGAATCTTGTTCATGACTTATCTTAGTAATATGTGTATAACCCATCGATAATATATTGATTATGAATTATCTCTATTGTTGGGCAGCCATAACTGCTAAATCAGAAACAGAAAAGGGTCAACCAGGTACAAATTCAAAATCTCAATGAACACAAAACTTTGATTCAGCACATCACATCAACAGCCTTTAACAGTCCACTGCTGCACATAGGTCGCTCCTTAGAAAGGAGGTTTTGGCCTATTATACCACGCTGGCCAGACGGGTTGGTATATGGTTGGTATCTAGTTTTCCTTCTCTTTGCAGTGCTGTCGTCCTGCGTAATATGCTCTCTTAGTCGGCTCTTACGACACTCACGGGATTTTCACCATTTTTAATCTGATACACTGTGGGACAGTATTCCGTTCCACTTTTTTTACCCAAAACTACACCAAGCTACCAAACCGTCACAAACGACCTTCGACCGGGATACCGGGATATAACGCTGCAAACCGGCACAATGTCCCGGTGAACCGGCACATTTGGCAGTCCTTCTCTATGGATTAGTGTTGCCAAATTTGATAATAATAACTTGACATCTCACACACGGCCGTCTGATCCCAAACTAGACTGAGTCTACACTATGATAATAATCAGACTGAAGATATTATTAAATACGAGTATATTGACTGCACTGATGGCGTAGTGGTTTAAGCGGTCGCCACGCCGCTTCCTAATGCGCTTAGTGTTGTGGGTTTAAACCCCACATGGGACGACACTTTGTGTGATCCACAAATTGTTGTTCTGAGTCTGGGTGTTCTTTGTGTCCGTTTCATGTATGTTTGTAAAGTCCCCCGCGACACAGGATACATTCCTAATGCGGGAGTTGTCTTTTTAAAAATAAATAAATAAAAAATAAAATCTCTACTGGTATTATAAAGCAAAAGATTTTGTATATTTGTTTGAACGCGATCATTTCTAAATCTTTGGAACGCCCTTCCCCTAGAGATCAGGACATCCACCAACCGAACAACCTTTAAGATCAGAGTACGCAAGCTCTGTGGAGACTTGTTGACGGAGTCATCAGAATAACCCCTCGTGTGTTCATCAATGCAGGCATATATGTATGGATGTATGTGTGTGTGTTTATGTTTTTTATATTTATAGTATTATATTGTACGTATAAATTATATTTACATCTATATATGTATCCCCGTATATCTGTGTAGTATAACATCTTGCAACCGACTACAATTTAAATAGTTTTGTTAATTAAGTTCGTTGTCGCTCTGAATATACTCTTGAGATATTTATATTAAGCAATTAAACACTTCCCAATTATTCACAACCATATATTTCTACACCCACGCAGATAACATTCACCGACCATCTTCACATATTAATAAGTGTCCCCGAAAGCACACAGTGTTGCCAATATAAATGTACAATATTCCAACACAACTCCTTACATTTATATTGCAACACAACTCCTTACTTTTATACTTTAATACAACTCTTTTTTTTTTTTTTTTTTTTAATACAACTCCTTATTTTTATATTTCGATACAACTTAATCCTTAACAGAACTTAATCCTAGTATTACTAACTCTACACTCTAACTAGTACATAATAGCCATTTTACTCATATTTCAATAAACCAATCCAAACCATTAACATATCAACCTATTCCCAAAACTCTTTACACTTCATTTTATTCCTTTACATTTAACATATCTCTGAATTTAATATATTTTACATTTCCTAATGCTTTCGTAAATATATCTGCAACATTATTCTCTGACTCTATCTTAACAACTTCAATATTTCCTTGTTTTACATACTCATGTATAAAATGGTAGTGAACTTCAATATGTTTAGAATTCTTAGTAAAGTTTCCATATTTAGAAATGGCTATTGCTCCTGAATTATCCTCATAAATTTTAACTGGTTTACAATTTTTTTCAAAAACATCATTCATTAAACAAATAAGAAATTTAACTTCAGTTACTGCTTCAGATAGGGCAATATATTCGGCAAATGTAGAAGACTTCGTTACACAATTTTGTTTCTTTGATTTCCAATTAATAATATTTCCAAACAATCTAATCACAAATCCGGAGGTGGACTTCCTGTCCAAAATATCTCCTGCCCAGTCCGCATCCACAAAACAATCTAAAATATCAGCATTATTATTCTTACAGTATTTTAATGTTAAATCTCTCGTTGAATACAAGTACTTTAGAACTCTTAGAGCATATTTAAAATGTGTCTCATTGTAACAATTTTGAAATCTACTTAAATAATTTACACTGAAAGATACATCTGGCCTGGTGCCTGAACTTATATACAAAAGAGCTCCAATTAAATTCCTATACTTTATATTCTTATTTACAACAGATTTTTCCAGTTTTAAATTTATTTCCATAGGGGTTTTATACAACTTTGCATTTTCAATGTTATAAAGTTTAGCTAACGACTCAATATAAGATTTCTGACTTAAAGTTAAAACATTATCTTTATCATAACTATATTCAATATCAATACCAATATATTTTTTCACTCTACCTATATCCTTCATTATAAACTTGTCGGATAATTTGTTTTTGATATTTATAATGACATTCTCATCTTTACAGCTAATTAATAAATCATCGACAAACAGTAAAATGTACACAGTCAAATCATTTTCCTTTTTGACATACAAACAACAATCATATTTACTTCTGCGAAAACCAATAGTTATCATAAAATCATTAAAACATTCATACCAAATTCTAGGACTCTCCTTTAAACCATACAATGACTTGCTCAATTTATAAACTTTATCAGTACCATCCTCATAACCAACTGGCTGCTTTACATAAACTTCAGACAAGACTTTACCATTTAGGAATGCAGTTTCTACATCCATTTGATGAATATGCAATGAATTTTGACAGCAATAAGACAATAACAATTTAAGAGTAGGCATCTTAGCAACTGGAGAATAAATATCATCTACAAAATCAGTTTGTTGAAAACCTCTTACCACTAATCTGGCCTTAAACTCATTTTCACTTTTCTTACTGTATATCCACTTCACATCAATTATTTTATTCTCCTTGGGAGGTTTACTTACAAGTGTCCATGTATTATTTTTAACTAAACTGTCTATCTCCCGGTCCATGGCCTGTTTCCATTTAAATGACTCCTCGCATGTAACTGCCTCCTGAAAATTCTCTGGAACCATAGCATTACAAAAATTAACATAAATACAATAATAACCAAATTCTTCATCAAAACGTTTTGGGTGTTTAATTTGCCTCTTTCCTCTTCCTATCAAACCTTCTTCTTTCTCTCTTATTTCATCATTATTTATTTCATGTGTATTTTCCTTTTCCATGCTTATCATATTCTTTTCTTCCTCATTTGTAGTAGTTAAATCTTCCTTTTCCTTTTCTATTATTTTATTTTCTTTCTCATCATCAAATCCACATAATGTTACATCTTCCTCTATAATATCACAATGTCTGGCAATAATCACTCTATTGTTTATCAATACTCTATATCCGGTGTCAGTATACCCAAGTAAAATTCCAATATCTGCTTTCTTGTCCCATTTAGATCTTCGCCTCTCCTCAGGAACTCTTACAAACACTTTGCTTCCATACATTTTCAAGTTTTTTACTGATGGCCTTCTATTAAAAAATATTTCATATGGGGTTTTGAAACCAATATTATTTGTTAATGTTCTGTTCTTAAGATATGCCGCTGACATAATCACCTCGGGCCAAAACCGTCTATCCACTTTTGCTTCATATAAAAGACATCTAGCTATATCCATTAATGATCTATTATATCTCTCCGCAGTTCCATTTAGTTCATGGACATATGCTGGACAAGGTTTTATTACTATTCCTTTTTCTTTTGCAAATCGAAAAACTCTTGCATTCATGTACTCTTTTCCATTGTCACATCGCAGTTCCTTAATCATTTTTCCTGTTAAGTTCTGTACCTCATTAACATATTGTATTAAGTAATCACATACCTCATCTTTTGTCTTGATACAGTAAACTTTAGTTAACTTACTGTAGTCATCTATAAAGCTCAAAAAGTATTTTTCTCCATTATATCCTGTAGTCTGGTGAGGCCCATTTACATCCGTATGTACAATCTCTAATATCTCCTCGGCTTTTCTACGGTTATTCTGAAATGGTAAGTTATGCATTTTGTTTTGAATACAGGTAGCGCACTTTAAATATTCATTTTCAATCCTTTTAGGTAATCCATCTAATGACTCATTTCTACACATTATTTTGAGATTATTAAAATTTATATGACCCAATGTGCGGTGTAGTTTTTCTTTAATAGTCATATTACACATATTGACATTTGCTTGTAACTTTTCATCTTGTACCTTCATATAACTTGTCATTTTGTATAATCTTTCATCTTTGATTGCAACAGCTATAACATTTCCATTTTTATTGTAAATTTTTGACAATCTTCCTCTTGACACAATTGAATGTTGATCAGTAATTTTTGAGTAGCTTAATAAATTCGCCTTCATTCTTTTAACATAAAAAACTTTTGTTAACGTAACTTCACATTTTTTTCCATATACCCGAAAATAAGTTTCAATATTACCAACTTTTGTTGCCTCTAGTATTGTTCCATCTCCAATTTTTACCTTTACAGGTTTTTCCAAAGTCTCACAGGCATCGAAGTACTCCTCAGTATTAATTATATGATCTGTACATCCACTATCGAGTAACCATTCTATTTGACCTTTCATTTGCTTGTCATTTTCTTTTGTTAGGTGGGTACTATTTGCGACGGTAGTATGAAAATTGTTCCCTTGGCTCTCGTTATTATTTTGGTGGTAATTTACTTTTCCTCTGTTAAAATTTCTAATATTATTTGATACATGTCCTCGGTAACCAGTAAATCCACGTCCTCGGTAACCAGAAAATCCACGTCCTCTACCACGTGTCATATTTGCAGAGCGACAATCTTTTTTAATGTGGCCGGGCTTACCACATCCGTAACAATTTATTTTACTTTGATAAGGTCTGGCTTCAGCTCGAAAGGCATTTGATGAGTCATGCACTGGTGCAGCACTTTCATTCTCGCTCATCTTCAACTTTATTTTACTTTTCAAGTAGTCTACATTTCTATCATTTTCCGGTAAAATATCTATTAGGTCACCTAAATAGCTATAGCTCCCAGGCAAAGCCTTCAACATGTAATTCAGCTTTTCTTGTTCCGTAATGGTCGCACCTGCTTGCTTCAACTCATTTACTGCTTTTTCAAAATGGTCGAAAAATGACGTGACTTCAGTAAAATTTTTCAACTTGATACTTTCCAGGTTATGTCTGCATACTATTTGTAACGCTGTCGATTTCTTTAGGTACATTTCATCGAACTTTTTAATAATTTCGTAAGCAGTTTCTAATTCACTGATATATTCTAGTTGTTTATTAGTTATTCCACAATAAATGTAATTTGTCGCTTGGATATCTCTCTCAATCCATTTACCATCATCTGTACTTCTTTTTGCCCTTTCAACCACATCTTTGCAATTTTTGAATTGCAGAAACTTGAACATTCTTATTTTCCAGTTGTGATACTCAGAACCGTCGAATATGGGGATATTTATTTCACAATTCTTGGCCGCCATTAATGTAATGTTCACGTATTTTCTTGTTAAAACTTTTCCTTTCTTTTAGCGTAACCACGCTCTGCTACCATGTTAATTAAGTTCGTTGTCGCTCTGAATATACTCTTGAGATATTTATATTAAGCAATTAAACACTTCCCAATTATTCACAACCATATATTTCTACACCCACGCAGATAACATTTACCGACCATCTTCACATATTAATAAGTGTCCCCGAAAGCACACAGTGTTGCCAATATAAATGTACAATATTCCAACAAGTTTATCTCATTATACACCTGCCACACACAAATCTCTGCATCACCCTAAGGTTGACTGGAAGAAAATGCCTATGGCATTAAGTAGGCCTTATGCATTGTATTTGCAGGAAGTATAAATAAATAAAAAAAGGTGTGTGGTGTCGTGGGACACCCGATAGGAAAGAAGTTGTGACGATCGAGTAAAACTGATTCGACACGATTTTAGTTACAACGCCATCTATGAAAGCGGCTATTACCTACATATTTTTCAGTTGGTTTCTAATTAAAACAATTTATACATTGGTAAAATCTCCTTGAGAAATGATGTCGAATACAATATTTTTTGCTCAACCTAAGAACATAAATTTTAATTTTACTGAGATGAAAAGTAATAATTTCCTATCTATTCGATAGATGGCGCTGAATGACTGACAAGTGACAATTCAAAATAAAAAGTGTCGTTACAACTTTTCGTGAGAATTTTTTCCGTCTGGCCCTCTTTCACAACGCGCGATAAGGAACTTCGTTCCAATAATTTATGGAACTACGGTTCCGCATTGAAAAACTATTTTAGGGTTAGATAGTCCATTTATCAAGGAAGGCTTTAGGCTGTATAACATCACGCTACGTCCAATAGGAGCCAAAAAATGTTGCAAAACGGGGTAAATTTCCTCATGTAGAGAAAAGTAGACCCAGTGCGTCGGTCAGCTAGTAAAAAATAAAAATATCTCATGTTTTCTTTTCTTTTTATTCATTATTTTTTCTTTTGACGACCGGATGGTGTATGGATGTGGATTGTGTAACGGACTGCTATTCCAAAGGTCGCGGGTTCGATTCCCGCTCAAGTCAAACATTTGTGTGCATGAACATTTAATGTTTGGTTTGGTCTGGGTGTTTCTATGTATAATAAGTATGTATTTACGAAGAAAAGTATATATGTATTTATATCATTTGTTTAGTACCCCATAGTACAAGCTCTGCTTAGTTCGGGACTAGATGGCGTTGTGTGAATGTGGTAAAATATTATTATTATTATATTATTTCTAATTCTTAAAAAACTCGGAACAGGTTGACAATAAAATAAACCCTTTGAGACCCATTTAACGGCCCTGTTATAAAATAATACACATTTGTTAATATTTTATTGCGTTTTAAACAAATAAATCCTAAATAAACACGTATTTGTTTGCCTGTCATAAGTAAGGAGATGAACTGAAGAGGTTTTTGTACACCGTTATACTATAAACTAGCTAATCCCTACGGCTTCGCTCGCGTGATTACTTTTTATTTCGTGTTCCTAACTCACAAAATGACAAATTGCCGCACAATCCATTATTTTACTTCCAATTCCAATTGGGTAGATTCTTAGGTTTAACATAAATTGTTTCGCCTGCACCATTAAATCTAATATCTTACAAAAAATAGTTTAAAAAAACTAAAAAACACGCTTTTTATAGAAAACCAAACTAAAAAATAGAAAATAAATTTTCATAAATCTGAAATTTAGTTCGGTTTTCTATAAAAAGCGTGTTTTTTAGTTTTTTAAAACATTTTTTTTTTATTTTTCTTTTTAAATTATTGTATTGTCGTCGGTCCCCGATATATCTACAAAGTTTGAACGAATTCTGACCGTTTAAAGTCAATCAAAATCACGCCCAAAGGAGTCGGTTACAAACAAACATACAAACATACAAGTGAAGCTAATATAAAGCGTGTAAAAAGAGCCTGAATTATCCTCCATTATCAATTTGATATTTTTATTGATTTGATATCTCTACATCTACATTAAATATAAATGATTTGACAATAGCTAGGCATGACGTCACAAAATAGTATTTTATACAAAAATGTACCGCGTCAATAGCATTCTGATGTTTAAAAAAAGATACTACCCTATTGGGTGAAATTTCCAAAAAGCCGTGATCAGTGGATGCTTACAACATAAAAAGCATCCGCTGCAAAAATTTTAAGTTTGTGGACCCCGGGTTTAGGCTTTGATGATTTATCTACAACTTACTAAAATGTATTTATAAACGAGTAGTTTTATAATACTTCAAAATCCTCGAAGTTACCCGCCATATCTAACCATAGACTAAACAAACATCACAGATTATACAGCGGAATGCGCAACGGCTACAAGTGGATTATGCCTAGTCGTAAAACAAAAAAAAAAAAACAGACCACCAACACTTAGGTGTGATGTTGTAAAGGCTGTGGTAGTTTCTGTAACGTTACTTTTTGATGTGAAAACATATTTTAATGTGCCGGTTGGCATTTTTGAACAACAAACAAAAGTATGTATTTTTTGAGATAGGAACAAAACCATTGAACTCGCGACACTGTTACCGTTACCGACACTTATGTATATAAGTATCCACATATATTGGCCCCGTTTACACGAGAGTTGAGTTTGAGTTGAAATACATTGATACTATAACTATTTATAATATAAACATGAATTGTGTATAGACGTACAACATAGATATATTTTCATGTCGGCACTTTTCGAATCGAAAAAAAACAAACATGTTTCCTGTAATAATCAAAAATTTTGACATTTTGAAGTTTTTACTTCTGTCGGCACTCCCGGAGCGCCACTGTTTATTATTTGTGTTTAAATCTTTTAAACAAATCAAAACAACCAATATATACACTAGTTTTTTTTTTGGTAATTTATCGTAGTTTTGAGACTCTTCCGATTCACTTGTATACGAATAATCGAATTTATTAATAACCAACCGTTTTTAATCCAGACGTTTTCTAGTATTTCACATCACATCACATCAACAGCCTTTAACAGTCAACTGTTGGACACAGGCCTCTCCTTACAAAGGAGGTTTTGGCCTACTTTACCACGCTGGCCAGACGGGTTGGTATAGCCGTAAAAATTGTCTCTCTCGTATTCAATGCCGACATTTACCGACACACATTGGTAATACTTAGATTTACTAGTAAAACCACACACATAAATCTGTAAAACTGGAATCGATTAGTAAATACAAAGAAACGATATCGATATCTTTTAAGAATCGGATATTGTAGTAATCGGTTCTTCTTACAGTTATGGAGTGTTAGATGAACTATAGTGTACATCGATAGTCCGTTAATTACAAGAAAATCCAATTACATAAATCGTCTTAGAAACCATACATATAATTATTTGGTAAATACTTAAATAAAAAATAAAAGTTACACGCTGTATATAAAATAAGGCTGTATTTACACTGTCGGCGACGTGCGACATTTGTCGACAAACAGTGCAACTACGAGAACCCGCCCTAATTGGTATTTAAAACAAAGGTTTTTCTCAGTGTTGACAGTCGATGAATAATTTTGAATAAATTCGAAAGGGTATATTTTATGTGCGAACAAATAAAGTAAAACACAAAATATATTCTTCAAATGACCGTAAAGCGTATCACACTGATATTACAAAGGCAAAAGTTTGTGAATGTGTTTGCTTGTATGTTTGTTACTCCTTCTCGCTGAAACGGTCCAGCCGCCAGCCAATTTTAATTAAATGTGATGTGGAGATAGCTGACATCCTGGATTAACACATAGGCTTTTTATCCCGTAACTCAAACTCTCTTTATTTCACAAAATTTTCAAAATTGTTTTAAATCGTCTTTTATGTAAACTCTAAAGTCATAGATCAACACACACAAAAGCAACAATCTCTGTTTTGTCAAGTGCCGTAAAAATGTAATGTTACAGTGGGATCATTAACTTAAAAAAAAAATCAACCCACATTAATGCACCTCCGTCATGAGGAATTGTAACATACAATATTCTTCAAATAAATGAAGAATTTTCTAATCAATACTTATATTGTAAATAAATTCTTATAAAGAGTTTGTTTGGTTGTTTGAACGCGCTATTCTCAGAACCTACTGGTACCGATTGAAATATCGTTTAGTGTAGGATAGTCAATTTACCGAGGAATGCTATAGGCTATATGACATCACGTTATGGCCAATAGGAACCGAGCATCAATGAAAAGAGTTACAAAAACGGGGAAAACACACGGTAGCAGCTGATTTGACTTCCTTGACTGCACGGATGACGTAGTGGTTTAAGCGGCTGCCACGCCGCCGTTTCCTCCTGTGGTGAGTGATGTGGGTTCGATCCCCACATGGGACACTACTTTATGTGATCCACAAATTGTTGTTCTGAGTCTAGGTGTTATTTGTGTCCGTTACATATATGTTTGTAAAGTCCCCCGCGACACAGAATGCATTCCATGAAGGAGAAGTCTCTTAAAAACAAAAACAAACAAAATATTACTTCTGAGAGACAGACATACGACAGATAGACAGGTACACGGTTGAGACCTTCAACAACTTAGCTATAGATAGTTTGTTTGCTATCTTATAGTTCAACATGAAATTTTCGGTATCTGTTCGTTGCTAGTTAGTCTGAGATAAAATCTACTAACTGCTGAACTCCTGAACTCCTGTCTTGTAATATAGCATTAGGATAGTAAAAATATCCTCACACATCTCACACACGGCCGTCTGACCCTCAACTAGGCAGACTCTGTACTATGGTAACCAGACTGCTGATAAACATACTTCTATGTTCCTAAATATTCCTACATATTGGAGACAAATTACACCCAGACACCGAACAAATGATCGTGCTCATTACACAAGTTTTGTCCTGAGATGGAAACGAACTCACGACCTTCGGCTTAGCAGCCAGAATCACTAACCACCAGGTTCGTAGGTACCAGGAATACCTTGTCGTTCTGTCGGCTAA